AAAAAAAGAGGTGAAGGAGATTTTGCTTAAGGAAAATTGATTATTCCTAGTACTCAACAGCAACAATGGTGTAGTAGGATAAGGAATTTAAAATATTGTTTAATGTTAGGGTGGATAATGGCGCAAAATGTTTTCCAATTGGAAATTGCACTAATTTGTTGCCTATATCCCTAACTAAGTGCCCCCTCCATATCAGATTCTACACTACATTTTGAGTAACAGGTTAGCGGAGAGCCATCAATGGGCGATCTGTAACCGTTGAGCAGCTTATCTTTATTTTACTTCTCATAAGATTTGTGAAGTTAAAACCTAGGGTTCTATAGCGCATTATTGTATGCTGTCTTGTAAACACAAAGGGTCGTGTGGCGCATTATTGTGTGCGGTCATGCAACCCTCCAGGTCATGTGCATATAGGTAAAGCAGCTTTGTGGTAGTGTAACTAAGTCACATAAAGTTTTATTAGTAAAGGTGACGTGAATAGAGTTTTTGGAACTCTATAAGATAGAGAATATCTAAGCATAGCGCTCTATGTAGTCTAGTTGAAGAATGGAAAGAAATTTCCAATATCCTAGGGATAGTGGGAGCGATGTGCCTACTAATGGATTACTCCATTAAAGAAGAATACTCTACATTCTTAGTTGCGTGGTAGCAAATGTGAAAATTTCCACGTCATCACTGGGTGATTGAGAGGGACAAACAACCGGCCCAAAAGCCATCAGTAGCAAGCCCAGCCGAGCCGGCGGAGGAAAACGGCGCGGCTCAGCGAGCGCGGCTCAGCAGGTGGCTCGGTACGCGGCTTAGAGCGCGGCTCGGTGCGCGGCTCAGCGAGCGTGGCTCAGCAGGTGGCTCGGTGCGCGGCTCAGAGCGCGGCTCGGCGCGCGGCTCAGCGAGCGTGGCTCAGCAGGTGGCTCGGTGCGCGGCTCAGAGCGCGGCTCGGCGCGCGGCTCAGCGAGCGTGGCTCAGCAGGTGGCTCGGTGCGCGGCTCAGAGCGCGGCTCGGCGCGCGGCTCAGCGAGCGTGGCTCAGCAGGTGGCTCGGTGCGCGGCTCAGAACGCGGCTCGGCGCGCGGCTCAGCCCGCGGCTCAGGGCACGGCGCGCGTGCGTGGCACGGACGGCGCGCGCGTGGACAGCGCCGCAGACGCGCGCGTGAGGGCGCGTGCAGGCGCGTCGGCAGAGCGTCTGGCGCGTGGTGGCGCGTGGGAGCGGCTCACGGCGTCAGGTGGCGTGTGAAGACCACGCGCCGCCTACCAGGTACTTTCTGGTCCGATTTTTGTACTGCCGGACTCCTTTTTTCAAAATAAAACCGTTTATAGTATGAAAAAAGACATTAATGAACATAAAAAAAAATATTTATGCTCTTAATCTAATCAAAGTAGATTTTTTTTCTCCTTTACAAACATTCATGTATATAATGTAAACATACACATGTAAAAATATACACATGATTAAAGGAAACACGAAAATATCCATCAATGGCTCTGATACCGATGTAAATCAAAGTATAAAAAATGCAACGGATAAAACGTTTAGATCATACCTTTAGATGATAGAACCTCGTGGATAAATCACGTGCTTCCAGAGTATGATAAACCAACCCAGCAGTGAAGTGATATTACAGATTGAATATCACCCACACAAATCACAGTGCAAATGACTTGATCGTTGTTTTTGGGAGAGAGTCAGTATATGGGTAAAACTCAGATCATACGTTATTTCTCTCTTGATCACCCATAACCCATATATCAGATATAATGTGTTATTATTATCTATCCATATCAGTTAATGGAGATAATAACTGTATCCTGAGTGGTTATCCTAAATAGGTTTGAATTCAATTTCAAAAACTATTTGGATAAGGTTCAAATTCAAATTCAAATGGTCATGTCATATGGGTGCCCATTACTAACATATATTGTTAAGAAAAACAACTAGTCATATCAAATTTTAACATTACATTGCATTAAGCAATTTTTCTAATTGATCATTTTTCCAATTAATTCAATCTTGCCACAAAAAGTGAAATTTATTCTAAAAATTATAGTCTGTTCAAGATTATAAATATCAAAGCATTATCTTATATAACTATTTTTTTTTTATAAATAAAACAAATGTCTAATCATATATATGGCTAGACCAAGTCTTCCAAATTTCCACAAAATTGTTATTGTATCACTCCTTAAGTTTGAATTCTAGTTTAAATAAAAAATTAGGATTCTTCATTAGGGAAGATAAACAACTTTCAACCTCTTTATTATCACATCAAAAGCAACCTCCAAAAAAATATATATATATATATATATATAGAGAGAGAGACTTAAAATTAATTGAAATTTATTCTCCATCCGTTATTTTTATTTTTCATATTTTTTAAATAAATATTTTATTTATTTATTTAGTTATTTTTATTTTTCGTATTTTTTAAATAAAGATTTTATTTATTTATTTATTCATTCATTTTTATATTTTAAATACGCATCAATCTAATTTACAGGGCTCAAATTTGGAAGCCCAAAGTTAGATCCGGGTTACCCAACAAGCTTTTGATTCCAACCCGCTACAATCAAGTGTCAATCACTAGGCCATCTCTCGTATCTAACGGCTGAGGGAAGACAATCTACATACATCCAATGAACCCGCACACACCGAAACGCCTCCCACTAGGGTTTTTAAGATTAGGTCAAGCTACTTCTCATATATCTGCCCTTCCGGCTAGGGTTTTCAGAGCCACCATTTTCTCTCTCCTCTCTCACCATTTTCTCTCTGTGTATCATTTCTTGAGTTGTTGTTGTTGTAAGATCTAATTATGGAGTTAAATCAGAATTAGGGTTTGTTGGTTGGTTCTGCAATTCGAAAAAGCTTCGAGCTTTTGACATCGTTGTTCTATCTATTAAGAAATGGCAACCACAAACCCATTTGATCTTTTGGGTGATGATGACAACGACGACCCGAGTCAAATCATCGCTTCTCAGCTCCCTCCGGCGCCGAAGAAAGCCCCTTTTCCGGCTCAGCCAGCTAAGCTGCCCTCCAAGCCTCTCCCTCCAGCTCAGGCTGGTAAAGCCTCTGACTTTGTCTCCTTTTTGAATCTTTTCCCTCAGATTGATTTATATGTATATACATGAGTTGTCAGACCATAAAAAATTATGTTTTTATGTTTTGATATATGTATGTTGGGTTGTGTTGCTTTGAAATGTAGGAAATGAAATGAAAATGTTATTGTGAATAATGTTTACTCTAGCTTTTATGGGTATGCTTGTGTGTGTGTGTGTGTGTGTGTGTGTGTGTGTGTGTTTTAGAGTCTCTGATTTGGTTAAATAAAACACTTCCCAGTGATTGGTGAAAACATCCCTAGGCATAGTTATTGTCAGTGTTAGTATCTCACGGCAGCTGCCAAAGTCACTACCACCATCACTGTCACTACTACTTCCAATTTAGAAACACTGTCACAGAACTAAGGTTGTGTTTGGATAGATGTGTATTTCAAGTCAGTGGATTTGACGTTAGTTATTGAAAGAAAATAACTTAAATTTAAATATGATAGTTGCTTTGTATATCTTGAGAGAGTTAAATAGTTTTATCACGCTGGATTTAAAACTACTAAAATATATATCTTCTGTCTCAACTTATCTTCGTGCATTGTTTTTCTATCCATTTAACCTTAAATACCTTAATTTCAAATCGACATCTATCTAAATGGACCATAGCAGTGCTGAACTAGTAGTAGTTGTGATCTCCACCTCAGAGAGAGAGAGAGAGAGAGACTGAGTGTTGGTTTGTGCCTCCATAACCGTAACCTTAATCACCGCTTAACTGTCACTACCACCATACAAATGCTATTTTGTAGTTAAGCCCTAATCCATGTAAAAAGTTGAGTACCAATGACCCATACATTGAGTGCTTTTGAATACCCGTATTATTGATTCAGGAGCCATGGTGTTGTTTTATGGTGTTCAAACTAGTATATGGGTTTCTTTTTTTTCCTTGAGTTGCGAAGCCAGATGTTTTGTCACTATCTTTGTCTTTAGTTCAATGAATTCACATTGAATTTTCACATCATTGTTTCTAGTTTTCTTTTCCTGGGAGAAGTAAGCAATTTCACATCTTTGTGTTCTTATTGTGTATTTCCAACATATAGAGCTGCGGGTTTCTAGCTTTTCCTTTATATAATGCTAGCTTTGATGTATAAGTGTGGATGTACAGTCTTTCTTGCCAGATATTTTCTTCTTTTTTTTAAATTTTTTTTGTTGGACGAGTTATTATTAGCAAATTCGTGGCTGTGACTTGTGGGTTCTATTGTATTCCATCTTACAGAATGGTTTTTTTATTATTTTCCTTTTTTGGCTACAAATGCTTTATCAATAAATTTGGATAGGTAATGCGTGTGATTTCACATTTCTCCTTGTTTTTTATGACTTTTTTCCCCTATTTATCTTTTTGGTGAACAGTGAGGGAGACCAAGAATGAAGCTCCTCGTGGAGGGGGCCGTGGTGGTGGTCGTGGATTTGGCCGTGGACGTGGTGGAGGTGGATTTAATAGAGATTCAGCAAATACCGAAAATACCTTCAGCAGTCGTGGACGTGGATTTAATAGAGATTCAACAAATAATGAAAATTCCTTCAACAACAATAACGGTCTTTCTGGAGGGTACAAACCTGCAGAAGATGGAGATGCAGAGAAGCCCTCTGAAAGACGTGGATATGGTGGGCCTCGTGGTGGCTTCCGTGGTGGTCGCCGTGGTGGTTTTAGCAATGGAGAAGATGCAGAAGGGGAACGCCCACGGAGGACATATGAACGTCGCAGTGGGACTGGACGTGGGTTAGTATTTTTATTGATAAATTCAACTTCTATTGTACTGTGAATTGCTTGTAATGTGTCCTATGTTATTGATGGTATATTATGTAATTTTATGATCTATGTTTGTATTATGCCGTCCACCTGATTGTTAATGTGGTGTTATGCAGGAATGAATTTAAACGTGATGGTGCTGGTCGCGGGAATTGGGGAACTCCCACTGAAGAAACAGCTCCGTGAGTACTTATAACTTATGTCTCGACTTTCACCTTTGAATTGAGACTTTTAATGTTTTCTTTTAAATGAGCTGAGAACTATATGCATATATTTATCAAGGAAATTTTGATCTATTTTTGAAATTTAGGGAGACTGAAGAACCTGCCAATGAAAATGAGAAGAATGTTGATACTGAAAAGCATTCGGGACAGGAAGAAGCTGGAGATGCCAACAAGGAGAATCCTGTGAATGAGCCTCAAGAAAAGGAGCCTGAGGACAAGGTGAGTTTATTTACTGATAATGGGGGTGTTTGGTTCAGCTTTTCAGAGTCAACTTATGGCTTTTAGCTTTGAAAAAGTTATTTTGGACTGTTTGGTTAAACTTATTTCAAACAGCTTCTGATTCTAACAGCTTATTTTAACTCAAAAAAACTGATTCTAAGAAGCTGCTCACCCCTTACTTCTGATTATCAGCTTCTGCTGTGGACATGTTAATTTATGGTTATACTCTTAAATTTTTTTATTTTTTATTTTTTATTTTTTTAAAAATAGAAAAAGACTCAAAAGGACTATAGATTATTATTATTATTTTTTAAGAGAAATGTAGACAAACAAAAAATAAAATTAATTGAAAAAGCTATTTCACAGATTATTTAACAAACACTATTCAGCAATTTAAATCTATAATCCAACAGTTACACCAAACAGATTAACAACTTCTGATTAAAGTCATAATCTATAATCTGTTAAGTTATAATCTATAAGCTGTTTTAACAGCTATACCAAACGGGGCCAATGTTAGATACCTTTGTCTTGAAGAGTCAACATTTTCATTTCCTAGAGTGCCTTTTAGTTGTTTAAGTATGTAGTGAGAAGTAGAGAAAACTTATAATTACCATCTTCGTTCAGTCTTTTTGAAAACCAAGCAAAGTGTATTTGATAACTAAAGGCATGAATTTTTATTTTTATTTTTATTTTTTGTGGGAGGCAGTACAATAGAAATTTCGAAATTCAAAGTAAACCAGGCCCACTATTTTTGGTCGATAAGCTTGTCTGTCTCAATATTTCCTGTGTCTTTTGATGATGGCTCTGTACAAGCTGTGGGTCTTGTCCTATAACACTAGATCTAAGCATGGAACCCTCATTGAGCATGTAACATTTAATGTCGGTTGAGTCAGGCTTGATGTGAAGGGATATGGGCTTGTAATCCGAGTTAAGAACTTGAACAAAGTGAACTTCTTTTTTCACTAGTAACTAAGACTGATACGATGAAGAGTTTTTGACATAGAATAGCACTTGGAAACCGAGTGCTAATTCCTTTGATTAAATTTGTGGTGGGTTTAAGGGGAGGAAATTTAGGTGTTTGTTTGCGGGATAAAATTTGCAAAGGACAAATTTCACTTTACCCCTTATGCTTTGACCTATGTGTAGATGACTCCCTTGTTATTTGAAAATAACCACATAACCTTCTTATGGCTTGTGGACCGGTTTGTGGACCAAAGTACACAGGTAGCTTTTCCATCTAACTTAAAAGAATGTGACACTCACATGCTTATGTGTAGAGTATGCTATTTTTGTAAGAGTGATACCCCTCGTTCGTACCCTTTCAAATTTACAAAATAATGCTATTCTTTTTCTTCCTTTCTCTGCTATTTCTCTCTCCTCCCTCCCCCTTTCCAGTTTTCCATCACCACCCCAAAAACCATGGCCACCATCTCTCTTGTATCACACTTAGCTACCCTCAACCATTACGACAGCCCTGGAGGCCTCACACCCAAACCCCCTGAATCACCATGAGTTTCCATCAAATGGAATTGATGATAGTTTGACAATTTGGCATGTTTTCTCAATACCACATGTACTAAACAGACCATGAAATGAAGCAATGGTAGCAAACATACGACACACTAGCAAAGTGAGGCATTATCATTTCCAATTTGAAGTTTATTGAAACTAATGTGTTGTAAAGTGGGAGAGTAGAGTACAAAAGGCTCTACATGCCACTTTCCCATTTAATTGAACCCAGAACAGAACTTAAACTTATAACCTAATCTTATCCAGTGATTAGTTGTGATAGGATAAGGAATAGAATTAGCTGGGCCCTATGCATTTATTGTCATTGGATTGTGTCAACGTCTATGAAGCATAGACACTCCAAAAATGGTGCCGTGGCAGTGTCCGACACGTCGGGGACATGGGGACACGCCGGGGACACGTACGGGACCCGCCAGATGGCGTGTCCCTTTAATTTAATGATTTTTTTGGGCGGGGACATGGCGGGGACACGCGTGTCCATATTTGGACACGCCAAGGGACACGGCGGGGCTCTTTTTTGAATTTTTTATATTTATTTGGGGTCAAAGTATAATATTTAAAAAGTTAAAAAAAAAAAACCAACGGGCAAAGCCCTAATCGAACACCTAAGGGATTAAATGAGTAAAATCAGACCTGCGAAGCCCTCCTCTCTCTCAGTCGTAGCCCTGTGAAGTCGATCGAAGCTCTCTCCCTCAGTCGCAGCCCTCCGAAGTCGATCGAAGCCCTTCGAAGTCTATCGTAGTCCTCCGATCCAGTCGTCTCAGTCTCTGTTTCAGTCGATCCAGTCGTCTTCGAAGGTAAGCCCTCTTTCGCTTGTGTCTCTCTCTTTCACGCTCTCTCTCTCTCTCTCTGCTCTGGTTTCGGTTCGACTGAGACTGATTTTTATTTTTATTTTTATTTTTTTATACATTTATATATAATTATATGTAAGACTTTTTTTATTTTTATTTTTATTTGTTTATACGTTTATATATATATAAGACTTTTTTTTTTTTTTTTGTAATTATATGTTTATATATATGTATATATATAAAACTGTATTTAAAAAAAAACAATTATAGGTTTATATATATATATATACACACACAGTATGTAAACTCAGTTTTTTATTTTTTATTTTTTATCCTTCTAATGTTAATGTTAATTTATAGGAAAAATGTCTAGTTCAAATTCTGCCAATAACATACAATCTGCCTTTGATGCTGAAGATGATAAGCCACTGTGGAAATATGTGACTAGATTAGAAAAATCTGATACAAGAGAGGGGAATTATACTTTTCAATGTAACTTTTGTCGGGTTACATGTAAAGGTTCATGCACTAGGGTAAAAGCCCATTTGATGCAAATTAAAAATCAGGGGATAGATGTGTGTCCAAAAGTAACAAGTAAGGATAAAGCTGATTTTGAGAGAGTAATTGCAGAAGCAGAGTTGAAATTGAAAAACTCTAGGTTGAAGAAAGTCCCATTGCCTCCTCCTAGTGCAAGAGGGGGGAATTATACTTTTCAATCCTCCTACTTCTTTTCTTTTCTTTTTCCTTCTTCTGTGTCTCTTATTTAGTGCTTTTGTGAAGAATATTGTTGGATGTTGGATGTTTTCCCCTTATATTTATTGTTGGATGTTGGATGTTGAATCTTTTGCCTCTCTTATATTTAGGGTTGGTTTGGGGTGTCCTAAAAAAGTGCACTTTTTGTCTTTTTACGAAAAGATGTGCAGAAAAGTAGAGAGGTGATGTGATGGAAAAAAAATAAAAAGATGGATTATATAGGTTATGCCAAACGAGGACTTATTGAATTAATGGTATTCTAAGAAGCATGGACACGGACACGTGACACGACACGGATACAACACGGACACGCCGACACGCTAATTTTCAAAAAATGCAGGACACGACACGCGGGGGACACGCATGAAATATATAATTTTATATATTTATTATATGTTATATATATGAATATATCATTCAAAGATAATAAAAATATTAAATATGACAATAATTCTTATGAATTTATATGATTTTTGTTTTATTATTGTATCTTAAGTTGTTTTGTTCAAACTTATAATTGGTTTCACATGTGTCTAATTGATAGACACGTGTATTTAAGAGATACACATATATTCTCCAAGTGTCCAAAGAGTGTCCGGGTCTTTAAAAAATAGGACACGTTTTAAAGAGTGTCGGACACGTGTCGGGAAAGTGTCCAAAGAGTGTCGGTGTCCGACACGGATACGACACGGATACGTTACCTTCTTAGAAGTGTCCGTGCTTCTTAGATGGTATTATGTTAGTGTTTGTTAATTTTGATTTAGAATGAATGTAATACGAATCTACATAACACATAAATATATATATATATAAAAAAAATTCGTCGTGTTTGTGTCCCAATTTTTTGGAAATTGCCATGTCCCGTGTCCGTATCCGTGTCCGTGCTTCATAGGTCAACGTTATCTTAGAATCCTTTTTATCTTGGGATTGCTAACTACCAAACAATGGATGTGATGGATGTATGAGCCCTAGTGATTTTTAATCGAATCAAACGCGCATTATCCATCTCATTAACAAGTGCAACCTTGGGCTCCATTTAGTTAGGCATTGGATTAGGGGAGTTATGTAATACCTAGGGTTTATGGACCAGATGAGATTAGTAATACCTAAGATAGTGGGTATGATTATATTTACCACAAGAGCACTTATACTATGTTTAGTTACACTTGCTTAAACCATGTGTAAGAGGAGGATAATTATTTTGTTGGATGGAGGGGGGAAGATTATCCTGACCATAAAATGCAGACAAATAAGTGATGAGGGGACACGAGGTAGACAAGAAAAAACATGTCGGTCCCATGGGATGACAAATCCCTCATCCTCCTTTATATTATGTGGATAAATGAAGACTTAGGCCATGTTTATTCATGAGATATATTGGGGATAAGGGGATTCAAATCCCGTGTGTTCCACATGTTCTTTTCTTGCCCCTCTATTTATACCTTGGTTTGCGTGCATTTTAGACATGGGATATAATGTTAAACCTAAACATAATGTCCCCCAAAATGGGTGGATAACAAATATCCTAATCCTATGGTATTTGTTATCCTTGACTATGGGATTATCTCCCTCTTTCCTTCCAATGATAAAAAATAACTGCCCTTTTCTTATCTCTCGTTTTATCCTAACCTAGTCAAACCTAAATCCTATCAATAATTGCTAGATTTTACTTATCTTCCTAATCCAATCAGACATGTTGTTAGAGAATTTTTTTTTTCTTTATATATATATGTATTACCAATCACTATCCCTGAGATTTTATTGTCCCATCTAAGCCTATCATACAAACAAAAGTAGATTTAAGGTTTGGGTTAGGGTTTTGTTTAGTAGTTTACGAAAGGAAAAAAAGCCTAAGATTTGTTTGATTTCAAAAGTGATAGGTTGCTAGATTTGAAGAAAATTGAAACTGGATATTCATAGCCC